ATAGAAAGAAGACATGTTTTATATTTGTTTCTCAGTCTGGTCTTAAAGCTGTCTTTGAATATTATTGTCATTGGGTGCAGGATGATGCTTTTTTGGTCTTTGGTACAAATACCTTGTTTTGCTGATCATGAACTGAACTTTTAACAATACCTCAAAAAGAAGTGACGTTAACTCTCTTTTCCAGCAGAATTTGTGCCAAGGCAGGACCACCCACCCACGAAGCATTGGCCCACACATTCATGATATAATATATGATTATAGACTTTGGAAAAATCTTCTCATCACATTGCAAAATTCCTTGTTCTTTTTAAGACATAACCTTAGATCTACTTTGGAGAGGGGGTGCAACCTCTCCAGGTGTCACATTTGTGGGAAATGCCCTAAACATCCCTGTGTATATGTGTTTTTGAGGGAGGTGTGTTGTGTGTACGTGCTGTCTTGTGAAATGTTGCAGTTGCCTGCTTGACACTCGACAACAGACAGGTATGTGTCCAGGAAGCCTCTCCAAACCCATCCTTCCTGTATGCATGAAAGACGCCCCAAGGCCGCGCTGTTTGTAGTGACTCCTGAGCGACGCAGGCGTGTGTGTGCATGCGAACGCCAAAAGCAGAACACGCAGTTGTTCTGTTCGTCCTCAACACTGTGTTTCATGCCCACTTGAAAGCCATGCTGCCTTGTGCCAAAGAGATTACACATTTCCTCACCTACAGCGCCACAGGGTTAAAAACGCTTTGCTGATATGCGAGAGCTGAAGTTTCGGTAGCAGTTGCACGCACACATACATCTGGTTTTAGTGCAATTTATTTATTTAGTTACTTCTACTCAAATAATCATCGGAAACGATGTTAAAATATGTAAGAGTTCGTTCTTGTCCCTGTGTATAGTATATATTGACAAAACTCAACTCAAGGTGCACTCAGTATATTACCTCTTTCTGGAGTCTCTCTGGAGGCTATATGCATTGCTTTGCCTGAATTAAAAACTAATTTGCAAGGCATGATGGGGAAGCAGCTCTTTGCTGTGATCAAATTTGTACAATACATACTATGTGAGAATCAGAGCCACAAAGTTGTGACAATCCACACCAGCTCTCTGACTTCCAGCTTAGTTAAAATAAAAATACTATTAATCTGCTTGTTCCTTCCCCAAATTTTATTTGACACCTTTTCATAATGGCCAATATTTCAGATCATCAATGTTTTACGATATTTTCAAACACAAAACTATTTGTAGGGAGTTTGATGAACAGTCGTATATGATTTAGATCCTGCATTTTACCTTTATTTTTCTGATGCGTGATCAGTTCACAGCCATGAGACCACAAACACCTTCTCTCTATGACGTCATTGCACATGCTAAGTGTGAATTAACTCTCAACAAGACAGCTGTGTAGCTAGTTAGTAAATTAGTGCACATGGATTGGCTTGTTTGGCTAAGTCAAGCTGTCAGTAGAGGAACCCAGGCACTTTACAGCACGGCAACGTGGACACATACTTGGTTTCGCAGGCACACACACACAAGTGAAGACACACACACACACACACATGCTTGACAGTAGCCAAGGAAGCTGAGGCCGTCAGATATGCCGCTGACAGAGATGGTCTTTCTTCCTCTCTGCGTGTGACAGACTTTTCTCTGAGCCCGAGACCGGGACGCATCAAAGCCCCACCCGGTCAAAACCAGAGTGAGAGACTTTCGTGGGCAAGAAAGGATGAGGAGAATGAGTTCAGAGGGAGAAGAGGGCCTCGTAAAGGGAAACATTTGCAAACCGGAAGGGAGTTATGTAAATGGGTTAGTCATTAGGGCCTTCTAAAAGAGAGGAGGCCAGATTGGGGGAAGGCGGATCGGTGAGTAGGTAACATAAACCCATTATGTGAATGGGCTCCTCTGTTGGCCATAAGCTACTCTTTCTTTTTCTCCTTTTATCGTTCAAATTCTGGTTTCTCCTCAGCTATTTACTTCATGACTTCCCCCAGTGGCCACTGATTGTTATTCACAGTGTGCTCCTGTGATGCTGCATCTGCGCTGGAGGGAGATTATTCAAACGATAGAAAAGATGCTTTTAAATGAAATGACTCATCTGGTCTAAGATGAATCACATATTTGATACAATTGGAACTGACAACAAAATGAAGAAATTGTCTGTTTCTGTGGAATCGACTGAGTTGAGGCATCTTAGTCAGATTTTTGGTTTTCCTCTAATTTTTCCAGGCCGCCAAAGCTCCACTTCAGTGCATGTTTTAAAGCATTCACATTTTTGTAATTTTGGAACACAATCAATAAATGTGTGAAGCTGATACTGGTAGATCTTGAAGGAATAAACTGCTTTGCAACACAAAAAATGGCCTCGTGGCATTTTGAGCTGCAGTGGAACAGCCCGTTCTGGCAGCTGCAGTGCGCACAGCTGTCATCAGAGACACGCAAACCAAAAAGAGGAAGGGACAGAGAGTAGAACAACATCCTGTGTTTTAGGTGACAACTATAAAAACCCAAGTGTTATTTACACAGGAAGGGAAGAGCAGCAGCACCTGAGCCCTGTCTGTCTGCCAGGAGGCAAGAGGCAGCTCGTAGCTTGAACGATTGCACAGCAATTGGGCAAATGTGGTGAGGCTCCTCACACAGAACGGCCTCAGTGAGGTCATGAAAGAAGTGGAATTGTTGCTCATAGAGAAAAATCAATCTATCATGATCAAACTATCATGTATTATGTTACAGTTGAAACAAGCTGAAGCAATAAGCTGAATCATATGATTATTGGATCAGTCAAGTTGGCTGGGCTGATTTTTGTCATTTAGGAACACGAGCAATAACCATGTGTTATTATTCCAGCATCTCAGGAGGAGAAACTGACTTTAAAGATAAATGACATGACATGTAGTTCAACCTGTAACTGCTCCACTGAAGCCAAACCTCAGAGCTGTGGTTTCCCCCAGTTTACATATATCTGAGGGGAACGTGTGTGGACAGGGCCACCTTGTGGTTACAACAGGAGGTGTCATAATAATGACCCCACTCATCACTATCACTATGTCCAAATGCTGCTTTCTTGGCATGGGAAAAGTTAATTGATTGTTAATTATTTCCATCAAGGACGGGATGTTTTCACCTCGGCCCATTTGTTTGTTTGTCAGGCGTATCACGCAAAAAACTACCAGACAGATTTCTACTTAACTTGGTAGAAGGATGGAACATGAGCCAAGAAAGAGTTGGCGTAGATTCAGACAAACGTGATGGATTTGTTTTGGAATTGAAGGCTGTAGAGCCTAGTTGAAGATATGCACTCTACTACTCTAAGCTCTATATGCGCCTAGTTTGTTAAATGTTTGCAACTAATGTAAAAAACAGAGAGAAATCTTTTTTAAATTAAGTATAGAAGGTCAAATGTTTGTGGAAAATAATACCTGAGTATTATCTTGATTGATGTTAGATGGAGAAGTACATGTTTGTTCAGCCTTGGCGTAGGTACTTGAACTTCATTTATCCAACATTAAGTCAAGTGTAACCTTCTGTGAGTCTAGATGTAACAATTTATCTTGTTTGTGTGATTTTCCTTCTTTTTTTTGTTAACGTTTATCCTCAGCATTTGATTCAAACTATAATGTTGAAATGTTAGAAACGAAGAGTGATTACAACACATAAACTCACACATAGTGAGTCTTAACAAGAATAAACCAGGCTGTGCATATTTTGACCCATTTGAAGAGCTGTTGAGAAACAAGTATAAAAAAGTAATGCGATGTTTCCTCTTTTGTTTCCTCGCCAGAAATGTTATTTTGAGCAGTTTGTCTCGCTTGGTGCCGTCTCGTGGCCGAGCGAGCCACTCAATGACCTGCCGATTTTTCCACCATCTTATAAAACCAAGCTTTTTTTACTTTAACTCACAGGCCGCAGTGTCAGCCTTCGGAGAGAGGGTCTGGTTAATGGCCTGAAGCACTGGGGTGTGAGGACACATTGATCCAGCACAAAGCTATACGCTCTCCCAGGGCAGCTCTAAAGTGCCCCTGGCTTATATTTATCAGGCCCCTCCGAGTGGGACCGCCAAACTCGGATCGGTGGTAAGGTCACAGCACCATTTAAACTTCCATTAAACTGCAAGAGTAAAATGGGTCACAAATCAGGGGTGAGACTTCTGGAGACCATAAAGCTAAGATATCAGATTGTCAATGGAAAAGGAGCCATTTACTAAAACCGCAAAAGACGTGTTAAATCAATATATTTCGTTTTAGAATACTTTTACTTTTAGATTTCATAGATGATAAACATTTATAGCTTCACACTGGTCCTGCATTCCCATGTGAAAACGATATCAACGCTATCTCCCTCATGAATAAATGCCTTTATGTTCAAACTCATGAAACTTAAATTGAACACCAAGGATGAAAGATGATGATGATAGATGAATAATTACGGTTAAAAAAAAGAAAAACTAGGATCTTTATGGTGAGAGAGGCTGAAGAGGACTCATTAGTGTCTTAAAGTGTCATCATGAGTTGAAAAAATATTTTAGAAAATGAGAAGTGAAGTAAAGGACAGAGGAGTTTGACATCAATGACCCATCATCAAGAAAAAAATGCCATAGACACTTACTAGTAGTGTTTGGCTCCATCTAGTGGGTTAGGGTTAGTTCAGCGGCTGCAAGTGCTCAGACGCTACAAGAGAAATCAATTAATTTACACCTTTCAAAGATGCAGGGTAAGAATAATGTGAGAGTATAAAACTACATAAAAAAAACTTACTGGAAGTGAAGCTTCGAACAGAGAGGTATAAGAAAATCCTTTGTCAAGAATTAACTTTATCAAAGCTGCTCGACTTTGTGTTTTTATGTTAACAACGGATCAACTGGCTGTAATCATGTATAATGTGAAATGACAATGTCGCTTTATTGGTGCAATGGTGTCGTGTTATTAATCTTAAACCCCAAATGTGTGCAAATGATAGCTAAAGTAATCTGCTTAATAAATCAGGCTCAGTGCACAGTACAAAAATCACAGGAAACAACATAAAACTTAACAGGCAGGCTTTTGAACTTTATTGGCATTTTGGCAAGACATCATCCGTCAATTAAGTTCCAGTTACAACTTACATTAAATGCATAACAACTGCGAGAGAAGATGTTACAAGGATTATTTTTTAACTTGGCTGCCGTCACATTTTATTCCATCATTTATTTACAAACAAACACATGTATGTTGTACTAGATTGATCCTAATATTCGACCCACTCATTGAGGTGGATAAATCGTGCAGCTTGAATTCATCGAAAGAGCTTGATATTGCTGTCAGATACGACCAGAGTCAAAACAAAAAGAGAAAAAGAGAAAAGAAAGGTTAAAAAAAAAAAGGTTTGGCAATACTCAAGCTGTCACAGTTTGGGCTAAAAGCAACGAAACAAGACACACAATATCAATATATCTTCCTTTTTTTTTTCTTTTTTTTTTTAATGAAAAGTGCAAAAGGCAAATTATCCATTTGGGATGATTAAGAATTCCAGTTGAAAAACTTGGATGGCTAACGTATTTCTTTTTCTACCCCCACGTCAAGTTAAGCAGATTCACAATTCATTCTGTACAGAAATTCTCCAAAGTGCAAATATTATGAATTGGCATAAGCTGGTATACACATCTCATTTTCTGGATGATGAAAATAATCAAGGAAGAAAAAAAACAAGCAGGTTCAGACTCCATTTTCATGACGAACACGTGCTCTGTCCGCTCTGGACAGTGTCCCACGTATTCATCGCTGTTGCACACGTGTCACAGAAAATATTGTTCCGAGTTGATCACATGATTAAAAAGGTGGCTCGTCCACACAGGAGCCACCTCCACGACTGGAGCCACGTTACATCACCAAAGAGCTTCTCACTTGTGAAGAGAAAAAAGGAAGAAAAGTTGAATCTTATTGTTAGAGAGCCAAAATCCCAGAGAGAGATCTGTGTGCTGGTGTTCTCTAAAATAGTGCATCACATGCACAACCAGTCACGTTTTCTACTGGTTTTCATTGCACTGCATTTTCCTCTGATTTTACTGGCGATTAAATTCAATTTTGTTGCTTGTTCTGTCAGCCCCTCAGCTTCATCGAAAAACGATCGATCACTTCTGCACCGAACCTGATGATGTAAGTGGATCTCGATCTATGATGACTTAACTATTCAACTACATCTACCCCCTTATCACGGGACTTTACACCCACAAGTAATGTCGGCCATCACAAATCACTAACTTGCATAAGACTCATAGAGTTTTTACGGCAGCCTGGCACGTCAACGGTTACTGTACGTAAAATGTGGAAGTGCATACGAGGCAGCCCTCCTCTGGCCTCTGAGGCCTCAAAAGGAGCTTTCACTGATTGGCTGCGGTCCCCGGGAGCTTACGGATAATGTTTTTACGAGACGGATTTGGGAGAAGACAAAGCAGGCGTTTATGATGTTTTGTAGGTGGAGGAGAGGGAGGTCTGTTGCGATATTTTTGCTGTAATATGGTATATGATTAAGTTTTGGTTTTGCAGGCATTTGGAGAATATTTCATTTTTCTTTGATTCAAACAGTAGAGGTCCTCCTCTTCTAAAAATGCCACGATGAAATGAAAATTGCTACTGCTTAGGCCAGGTCAGCGTGAGTTTTCATTCAAAGGCAAAGAAAGGAGGGAAAATGATAAGTGCACATTTCAGATTTGATATTATCAGTATTTCTTTTGAATACCTGCTCTTTGTTTCAAATATTTGTACGTTTGGTTTACAAACACTAAATGTGATATGTGGATTGATCCGTGCACGTGTCTGATTTCCCTCATACACATTCCAGTGCCCTGAATTTGAAAATCATTTTGCTTTTGTGCTTCTACTTTTCTGGGTAGAGAGGGCGAGATGTCCATGGGATGTCCACTATCTTCAAAAAGTAAGATCAGTTTATTTCTCTAGTTATTTAATATATTTGTCTTTTGCCATTTCTCCCTGTTATTAAGGATGAGATGTAGCTGAATTGATGCTCGGATCAAGCAAACGGTGACACAACTCCTGCCCGGGAACAAGACCTTGCTCATATTAAATACTGAGGAGAAAACTATCATCTTGGTGCAGGCTGCTGCAGAACTTGGACCTGAAATCCCTCCTGAAGCCAAGTGGTGAAGCCCACCAAGTTCTCCTCCTGGGTGCACGCAGGTACTTCCTTTTTCTTTTTATTTAGTAAACGGAGCACCAGATCATCACAGTTTGATGCTGATTCCATCTTTCTTTTTGCAAGGTTCATGATTTATTAGCTAAATAGTATCATGGTCAATGCGAATGGTTAGCTGCTTTAAATTTGCCTCTGAAATATTCCGTGTTTCGTGCCGCTGATGTGCAAAGTAAGACTAAAAGTAAGACTTCTTAAAAACACCCTGAACTTTATAAAATGTGGAATGGTAACACTAGTACTGGAGATGCTGTTACTGTGCAATCTTAACTGCAGAAGATGAATTCTCTACTTGATGTTAGAAAGAAAGGTCGGAAAAAAACAGACACTGAGCATTTCTCATTCAGTTATAAGCTGGTATGCCGCGCGCAGTCAGAGCAAGCAACTGTTGAAATTTCCTTTCATTTCGGTTAAACTTCTATTGATATTATTTCATTGTGCTTTCATTTTGTGTTGTTGAGCAAAATCTGATTTTGGAACATCTGTGTTTACAGCCAATGTCGGCTGAGGTCATGTTTTTGTCAATAGCACTCTGTGTGATCTTGATTTCAGGGCTTTGAATCAAAGAAAAACAAAAACAAAGCCCAGGAAGAGACGTCGAAGATGTATTTGTTTCGGCTCGGTTCATAAGGAGCGACTGCGCTGTGAGACGTTTTATTCTGTGATATGATTGGTAACCCTTTTCCCTACTTTCTTTCCCTCCTTCCTTCCCAGTGTCCTCTCTTCACTGCGCAGCTCCTCAGTCAGGTCATTCGAGGGGGAGGGAAGGAACTTCACATTGAAAAGGAATGGTGATGGTGTGGAAATCTGCGGGAAATGAAATGACATCATTAGAGCAAGCTTCAATGTGGTGGTTTCTTTTCCTTTCAGAAAATGTTCTCAACAGACTTGTACTCTACCTTTAGTAGAGGAAGAAGAGACGCGTTCGATGAGAGGTGGCCATGTTCTCGGACATGTTGCGCACTTTTAGATAGTTCACGAAACCTCTGAAGAACAACAGGAGACCTGTGAAGGGAGAGGGATTATTTACTTGCTACTTACTAGCAACTAAACAGAGACGTTTAGAAACGAAAACTCTTGTTGTGCGTTTTAGTCTTGACGGACAGAAGATCATTTGGAAATGATGATGTTATCATTTGCTTCCTGGAACATTGGTTCTGAACAGTCACGACTCGACTACCAGTGGTGAATGCAAAACATTGCTAACGCTTATTGTCAGTCACAGTTCCACCTCGTCCTTGGTCTTACTTTTCACCATCGCCGTTTCTTGATCTTTGTATTGTCTGCAACTGAGCGACCAACCGCAGATTTGCCAATTTGCTTTCTGTTTACAGCGACTTGTGCATGGTCAGTCTAAGTTATCTGAATGGTTTTCATTGTATTTATGGATGTAGCCTTAGCTTGTATATGAACTGGCAAAATACTGCAATGTTAAAAATTCTGGACCATTTAACAATAAACTCACCGAGCAGCAGGAAGATCCACCAGAGCCAGTACTGACCATTGAAGTAGCCGGTGAAGTAGTCAGAGAACTGGACAGGAAAAGACATTTATTACTTTTAGCATTTTTACTTGGAGTTAAATGAGAAGACAAAAAGTTAACTTCTACTCATGTTTATATGAGTATTACTTCAATAAGTCTTGTGTGTACTTTATTCATCCATTCATGCTATGGATGACCTGTATTATTAGACAGCCACTTTGTTTTCCTCCTATATGTTTGAGGAAAAACACTTTAAATTTAAACTGTATGTGTTTGATGATAGAAAGTTGTTTAACCTTAAATCTGTAATATGCTGAGACTATGCTGAGTAAATGTCATTGATTGCTGATTGGTCTTTTAAATGTGTCAATATATTTGGTGAAAATTCGATGCGGCACAAATATAAGAATACAAACCCTAACGATGAGAATCCACTTGATGAGGGAGAGGCCGAAGCCACAGATGGCTCCATAGCGTCCTGCAATGGTGTTGGTCAAACAGAAGGACAAGCAGAACCCGATCCAGTTGAACAGGAAGGCCACTAGAGGATAAATATAAAGAATTAGACTTCCTTGTGATATTTAATCTAGAAAATGGCGGTGGAAATTTTCTAAATAAAACCACTAAGGAATGTAGAATGTTTTCTGGTGTCGAAAGAAAAAAAATGAATAAGCATTGGATGATTATTATTATCACTTTTATACGAATTGCTGCTATCATTAATAACATCTTTACATCCATAATTATCACTCTTATAGTTTATATTATAACTAGTCAGAGCTAAAACATGTTCCTGCTCTCTCTCAATCCTCTTTTCCTCTCAAACATTAAGTCTTCGTGCCTTGTGGTCACTGACTTCAGCTCAGTTATTAATGTCTCACTAATACTGATTCCAACCTTATGTTTTGACAGATGCTTTTAAAATAAAAACTTGAGGCAGACTCACTGAAAAAGGCCAGCATGAAGATGCCATCGTTTCCAACTCGCAGCTGATCAGCGTCACTGAAATCATCTCTGGGAGGAAATTCATCATCCTAACAAACCACAGCAGATAAATGTGAGGTAGGTTTAAAAAAATACACAATGACACACAGAGTCAACACATGAGTCACAAAACATGTTGGACCTCCCTCACCCTGAGAGCTACTTCAGTCACAGTTTTGTTCCTTTGTGTCTTAGCGGGGACATAGTTGAGACTTACATACTGTCTTTTGACGCATGCTGTGAGATAAACCCACCCAACTAAAAAAAGTGTAGCTTGCTATTAATATGGTAACTGAAAATAAAAGCTTCAGATGAAGGAAGTTGACACAGGAAGCCCACAGAAAAAAAAAAAAGAAAGAAAAACATAGGAGGAGATTTTGGATTCAAATATGAAGAGAGAGTGTGTCTCCTCACCCGTGGCATCACGTCCACAGTGGAGGCAGCCATGGCGGCTGCTTTGGCCTTCTCCGCTTCGTCATATGTGGGCAGAGAGGTGGCAACACTGTAGGGCGGAGGTACTGGGAAGTCACTTCGGAAACTAGTCTCTGTGGGACAGACAGATTGGGAAGGAGCCTCGTTTACAAAGGGAAGAAAAGGAACCATATTTTGTGTAGTGGCCAAAGTAGTAACATCATGGAAATCAACAGTGACTCGCGAGTGAAGTCATTCCTGTAAGTGCCTCAAAGTTTGCACAGAGATGTAACCCTGCTGCTGTGGGAAGCACGCAAACACACTATGGAGAAATACATAATTACAAGAAAATCAGCATTTAAAGTAACAATTAATGGCATACCAGGCACAGCAGCCGTTGCTCCCAGTTCAATGGACGCGTACGGAGGTGGGGGAGCCTCTGCTTCCCCCTGAGTCCTTGATCCCGACGCCTCCGCTGCAGACGAGGTCAGGGCCGAGCTCGCCTGGGCCGTGCTCTGGTCCTGGCTGGACGTACCAGCCAGCACTGTGGCAGAAGTGCATTGCTGCTGATCGCTGGTAGAGGCCTCTGAAGAGTCGTCCTCGTTGTGCAACTATCAGGAGGGGAGAAAATTAAACAGATCAGATGATTCGTCATGTGTTGTGTGGCTGCTTGAGGACATGCTGGCGACACTACAAAACTGGCTACAATTTTATACAACGAAGAATGAAGAAAAGATTACTACTTGACTAAAATGACAACCAGAGGGTAAATGAGACAGCGGCAGTTGTAAAACTTGGTATTCATGAGCTGCATTTGGGGGATTTTACAGCTGAACATCTCAATAGTTGTTTGTAGCAACAGCATCATCAAGAAGTTATGTAAGACAAGGGGCTTGAGCACAATCTGTTTTTGTTTATGGACTTTTTTTGCAGAAAGATTATTAAACAGATTTCAGTCACTGGTTACATATTACAGCCACAAATAATGCATGGTCCTTTTCCCAGTGTTTTACATATTATCCACATTATGGACATTAGGGTTTGTTTTACTGTTTCTTTCATTGAAAGCTTTAGTGTCCTTGTTTGTTGTTTGAAATTTTACCTGCAGCCATTTCTGCCTACTTTATAGTGATGTCACAGATATCTCAAGATTAGTTTCCCCTTTAATTGACCTGGATTTTAACCAAGCATTATATAAATCAACCAATCATAGCCCATCCTCATTGTGCTGGATGATCACAATCAAATCAAAAGTCATGCTCATTTTTCACAGTGATGGGAAGCTAAGCTGGTATGGCACCAGAGGACGGTCTCTGGAAAAGTGATCAGTCAATGAGAGTCGCCACTATAGCCGAGAGAACCATTTACAGACTTCAGTGCCTTAATATTCATCAGTGCCAAAGAGCCAAACACCTTCTGAAATTACAGAGGGGTCAAGAACATGGTGGCGGGAAATCTTGGTGGGTTAAGATGTTGGAGCTATCGAGTCCCAATATGCCCTTGAGGAAGTAATATGATGCTTGCTTTTCATTTGCACAAATCCCATGTAGCTTCATTTGAAATCATTATTCAGTCCCAACTTAACAACCCGTTAACTAACTGTGATGATGATTTTTTACGAACACAGATATTTTGTAAAGTCACGGTCGTGTTGTCAAAAACATCTTATGTTGTAAATTGATTCAGCTTTGGAGCCAAATTATATGTTTAAACAAAGTTTTAGGTCAAATTTGAACCTCAGTGTAGACAAAGCTGAGATTGACCATGGGAAAAAAAGCCGTGAGCATCATGCTCTATGCAAGGCTAATTAAAGAAAACGTGAAAATCGGGAAAATGCCCTGAGACAAATGGCCAGACAGCTCCAGACCACAGCAATTTATTGCGCAAAGCAACATCAACTCATCTAATCATGTGTTTAATGTCTGATTAAAAAGAAACAAAGAACCACTAACAAGAAAGCGTCTCTGTGTAAATGTGGTTGTGCAAGTTCAACATGTTCATGTCGTAAAACTAATGCCTGAATGATGCAAGCTGAAGGTCCTCAAGGCATATGATGCAATGACAAAGTCTACCGCCCTTCTGCTCCTGAAGTTTTAGTCATTTAAGACCTTATCTGAAAAAGTCAATCTGGTGGCATCTAAATGCTGAAGGGACTTTTAGCTTTGGTTTGTGGTTTTGAATGAAACCTATATTTTTCAAGGTGCTTCTGAGTTGTAATTATCAGCATCATAAGTATGTGTTTAAAAGGGAGACTTTCCATGAAGTAATGGCAATGTTCTTGCTGTGGGATAATACCACAACAAACAGGGGCAACACCCATTGTAATTACATCTGAAGAATAAGAAGAGCTCAATACACTACTGGACGTTTTATAAGACATAAAGTCGAACCTAGAGGAAAGTTGGTTCATCGCCGTGCAGATAGTGCAGCCCGTAAAAGCTCCACCAGCGCAGGGATTGAAGTACAAGGCAGAAAGTGAATGAGCGCCTGACAACTGGCTCGGAATCAAGGACAAGATAGAATGCACCCCCGTGCACCAGGGGATTACATAATATCTTGAACAACATGGCCATAAGCCACCTTGTGTGTCCGAATATACCCAGAACTGACGTGGGCCAGCTGAGAGCAGCAGAGCAACATACTTAAAATAAATCAGAGAATCTTCGAGAAGAATCAGAAGAGATCCAGTGCAAAATATGTGGCTTAAATGAGGTAAAGATGGGAATACATACAAACCACAACAAGTGAGAGGAGGAATATCCAGAGCAGTGCAGTATCGAAATAATCCTTGAGAATCCACTGTCCCAACTTGATTATAACGATGGAGTATTAATGCAGAAAAATTGTATAGTCTGACATTCTGAATCCTGCGGGATTCACATACCCAGAACCACAGGCATCCGAGCACAAGCTGCTGTTGTTCCAGCACAAGCCTGCTAATCCATTAGAAAAATTGCCTCACGTGTTCAGACCGCACTGCAAACTCAAATATGTACCACTTAGTGTGGTGGGGGGGAGGCCATGTTTTAATCGTCCTCAGACTGTTTTGACTCTTATTGGGAACACAAAGAGTACTGTCCTTTAATCCGTAACAGGAAAAACAGCAAGATGTACTTTGGAAAAGTTAGCGATTAAGCTTTTAGTTTTTCTATTGAGGTTTTGTTTGTTAGTAAGTGTGTTGTTAAGTTGTTAGTAGGTGGCTTATTATTGAGAATCAGGGTTTATGTGAAAATACAACACAATCACATAATAATAGCAAGTAAAATATAATTATTATTATTTGTATCACAATTGTGTGTTAGTTATTAGTATGTTGTTTGTTATTGGGACTCAGGGTCCACATAAAATACAAACAATCACAACAGTTAAGATATTATTAATGCTATGAAAGTTAGAAGTTGTTAGGTGGTTGTTAGAATTAATATTATTCAAACTCAGGGTGGACATAAAATACAATCACATGATCACAAGTAAGATATTATTAGTTATTTAAGTTGATTGTTAGTTAGTTATTAGTATATTGTTTATAACTGAGACTCGGGGTCCACATAAAACACAACACAATCACATTCAATAATAATAATAATAACAGTTATTAGCATTATTGGTGTATGCTAATGATGGTAACTCTAATAACAAGAATCCCCCATTGAGCCACAGTTAGCCAGCTAGCCTCTTACCACGCTAACATGAATCCACTGCTAACTCTCACGTCAACAGCCGTGTATGTGATCCCAGGTTTAATAACGACGTTGTAAACACAGCCACGTGTATGATCACTGTGTGATCCAGATTGTTCAGGCTTTAACTTCTACAGGCCTGCGGGGCTAATGTCAGCTAACGTTAGCCTAGCCGATGCTGAAGTGTCCACTCAAAGGTTAGATGTCCAAACAAAGTCATGAGAGGAGAAATACACAACAGGTATAATACTCTTTTGTGTGTTCTTTTACTGCGGTCTGTGATGTGACGTGTTAGTGAAAAGTTAGTACATGTAGTTGTGGCTTCATGTTTCATCAGGGCCTTTCTTCCTGTGTCACACAGGCCGAGCTGGTGATCCACACTCACCACTTGGTATCGACTCGCTGGGTCCATCCCCGGTTCGGTTCAGCTGGGAGAATCCAGCCGAGGGAGGCAGAGGGGAGTCCGGCTGCTGAGTGTGTCCGAGCCTCGAGTGTCAGGACCCGGGGGCGCTCCTGTCAAGCTGTCGCTGAACAACAGAAGAGAGAAATGGCTGCGACCCACAGAAGTGCTGCTCAGGAAAATAACCGAGAGTCCCGGAGAGGCAAGCTGCACATAGACTGTACCACTTCCTATTACACACTTCACAATAAACCATACATTATATTCTTAGAAACACATAGAATAACCTTTGAAATCCAGAGGCAGTTCATTATTATTATTATTACG